GGTAACGTTTTCCGTAAGTTTGGTCGCACTGTCTGTTAGGGTAAGATATTTCATGTGTTTGAATCATTATAAAAATAGTGTAAAAGGTAAGAATTTTGCATAGTATCTAAAACAAGTCACACAGAGGTTATATGTTCAGAACTTCTGAAGTTTCTTCTAGAGACTAGGTTGAATTAGCAACAGCATTAGATATGGCGATTGTTCACGAATTCTTTTAAACAAGAGAAACTCAACTCATTACGTACAAAAGTGGACAAAATCACTCCCAAATAGATTATTTCATGACGAGAAAAAAAGATGTATGTGAATGTAAGGACTGCAAGGGAATAATAAGTGAGACTGTGAACCAAAAAGATGTTGTTGTACAAGCTGCTTGTGCTGAACATCGACGTAAAAAGAGAAACGAAACAAAAATATGAGAAAGAAGGTCTATTCAGGGCAAAAATAATAAAAAAAAAATGTGCTGCAATGTGAAAGGAAGTCCTAATATAATTTTGAGGAATATGGTCAAACGAATGTACTGATGGTAGTCAAACGAAGTTCAAGAAAACATACAGTATAAACCAAAACTATATAAAAAAAAATGGCAAAAAATAGGTTGGATCTTCTTCTTTTTATGGTGCCTATACGTTCCGGATCCGGAAATTCATTCCATTCCGGTTCTGGAAAAAAAAACTCGCTTTCGATAAAAACTAGTGTTTGAAGTGATAAAAGTAAGTAAGGTTCTTTACAATTCGAAACAGTCATACTGGTAGAACTATGGCCGTTTGTTTTGCGACGTTCGCGGCCCTTAGAAACAGATATAGTGTACACGGACGATAATGCGTCAGAAGGCACGAAGAAAAAAGATAGAGGGTCAACTTCACCTTTCCTCACCAAAAAAATTGCCAGAACTCCAAGCAAAAGAGAACCAAAGGAAGAAGATTCAGAGGATTTGGACGACGTTATGAGCATGTTCAAGAAGATGATGGGGGAACTGAAAGAAATCAGGAATGAAAATAAGGAATATAGAGAAGAGATGATAGCGCTGAAAAAAGAAAATATAAAGATAAATCAAGAATTGGAAGAGACAAAAAACAAATTAACCCAGGTTGAAAACAAAGTAGAAAGATAGAAAACAGATAAAAAAAATAATGTAAAAGATTTCATACAAAAGCACCTAAAAGAGGATGTCAAAATAGAAACTGCTATGAAGTTAAAGAACAATATATGTCTGGTACAAATGAAGGATTATGGCAAAAAAATTAAGGTAATGAAAGAAAAAAGCAAACTCAGATTTCTTACTGGAGAAAAGATCTTCATCAACGATGACCTAACCGAAAAAGATAGACACATGAGGCAGGAAATCGTAAATCAAGGCAAGGAATTAAGAGCTGAAGGTAGAAATGTGAAGATAGGGTACAAAAAACTAACTGTGGATGGTATAAAATGGGTATGGGCCGGAAATGGTACTTTCAAACAAGAAAATTCCAGAAATATGGACTCAAAAAACGGCATATAGTAGTGGAAAAAGGAAAAGATGGCACATTATGCCAACGGACCCTAGCGATGAACTGGAAATTGAGTTTGAACATAAATAGCAAAATAAAAAATAAGAATATGTATCTAAATATTGCTACATGGAATGTACGAGGAGTATACGAGGAGGGAGCATTAATTCACCTAATAGAAGAACTAAAAAAATATAAAATACACACCTTAGCAATACAGGAAACACATTTAACTAAAAACAACATTAAAAAGATTAGCTCATACACGTTTTATACAAGTGGAGGCGATAATAGGAATTTTGGAGTGGGTTTTCTGGTACATGAAGACGTGGAGCAGGTAAAACGATTCGTAGTAAAATCTGATAGAATGTGTGCAATTAGAATTAAAGGAAAAGAGAATATGATATCGTTGATAAATATACATGCTCCAACAGAAGAAGAAGAAGTAAAAGACGAATTTTATGAAGAGTTAGAGTCATTGTGTGAAGAAATGCCCAGACAAGATACTACAATTATTATAGGCAACGCCAATGCAAAGATCGGAAGAGAAGATATATATAAAAACATAACAGGCGGTGAAAGTAAACATTTGAATTCAAATGATAACGGACAAAGATTAATAACATTCTCAATTGAAAACAGGATGAAGATAATGAGTACCCATTTTAGGAAGAAAAATATATATAAAGGAACGTGGAAAATTCTGGGAACAAATGGAACTAATCAAATAGACCACATCTTAATACAAGCGAAGTTTGCCAATTTAATTACAAATGTGAAAACGTGCAGAGGAGCTGACGTAGACTCAGATCATTTTTTGGTTAAAATTAATATGAGAGAAGCAATAATTAAAAATAATAAACGGAAAAAGAAAGTGCAACAAAGTGCAACGTAAATTTAACTTTAAAAAATTGCGAAAATTTGAGGTAGCGCAGGATTATCAAAAGGATATACAAGAAACCTACTTCAAACAAGATAGTACTACTGTGAGTCCCGACAAGGTTCCAGCAGGAACCATCTTTTAAGAGGGGGGCAATGTTACGATAATAAATATTATGGCGTATAAAACTGTAAATATATTATGATTAATTCTCTTCTATTTCTAGTAATTTCGGCGCTCAATTGAAAGACTTGTTTACCTGCCGGAAGAAGTCTCTAGTCGTGCCGAAAGACCAGTCCATAAGTCACCTTGTCGTCTAATGGGTGGAAGGTCATCGATTCATCGCCAGATCCTTCTAGTCTAGCAGCTGAATGAGTATATAATAACGGAGCTTTAATTGCGGGAGCAGTCAGAAAAGAAAATCGCGATCGGGTATTTAAATGTAACGATCGTAATAATAAATTATTATTGTAAAATCGATTATTATAAATAAACTTTAAATAAATTAAGTTTGTAAGTGTTATAAATATTGAACCTTTAGTAAATTAAAATAAGAACAATAAATTAGAATAAACAAAAACATTATACATTGTTCCATTTCTGATGTTACATTCTCCTGATTCAATCCATTGTGTATCGCTAAGCACTGGGGTTAATGTTATACTTCATTCTGCACATTTCCGACACAGTGTTATGTTCCAAATTTCAAGGCTATAGAGTTATTCTTATTTGTTTACCTTTATGACGACCCGAGAGGCCCTGTCGTCTAAATAAGATTGTCCTCCTCGCCGGATCTTGAATTCCGAGCTCTATGATCATTAGGTAAATTATCTACTAGTGGGTCCATGAGGATTTTTACTAAGGATGTCCATGCGGATTTTTAATGTGGTAGTCATCCTGTGGCTTTTCACATCTCAATGCCGATGACCTTTAGCTCTTCCGCTTTCGGAGTTAATTTCTCAGCTCCAGGGCAATGAAGTGCCCTACCACGTGTCGGTTCTTCCACCCGTACCTGTTGACCAACAAGTGGGGATTACTTATACCAGTAATAATTCGGTTAATTTAAAACTTGTAGTATCCAATAATAAACCAATCCAGGATCATTTTCCTTATCAGAGTAGGATACGGGAAGGAAACTTTTAGTAATTTTATGGGAGAATGGGTCCAGGTGTCTCCTGGATACCACGAGATTGGGAGATAATTGTGGCTCATGTGGGCAGAGTCACATCCCTGAAGTAGATCTATCTTCTATCGGGAACGTAAAAGAGTATCTACCCGCTATCAGGATAAAGTATATAATCACGTAAATATCTTTGAAACGAAAAAGACGATATTCATGAAACTTTGCATGCAAGTAAAATGACACATAAAGTATCTAATATCATATTTTTGGTTATTACTTTACTTTCGGTTTCCATGGAAATTCCCTTAACTTATTTAATTTAAATGGGGCACTCTGTATATTTTTGCATATATATGATGATTAATTAAAAAAAAAATCCACGCGGGGAGCCACGCCGGGCCCCGAGGATGAGACCTGGCCGGGCCCCGGGGATGAGACCCGGCCGGCCCCCCCCCCCCCTCCAAACCCAGTTGAACGAAAATTCCCAAAAATCTGATAACTCATAAACTGGGATATGTAATAGTGAACACTCATGCTATTGACACAGGAAGGAAGAAAATTAAAACAGTTATAACAATTAAACTTTGTTTTTAATTATTTACAATAGAACTGTTAGTTGCAACATAACTTTTCTTGCTTTTATATCCGCAAAGTTTTGGATCTCGTGGTCGAAATCAAGAGTTTTTGCAAGTTTCGACTCTATGCTTAACAGTCCCAAATCAGATAATCGTTGTTGACCCATAGTAGATCGTAGATCTTAAACAATTCTTAATTCGGCTCAAAACGCTAAATGATCTCTCGGCCTGAGCAACGGATACTGGTAGGCAACAGAATATGCGAAGAGCAATGCACACATTGGGGAAAAGATTTGTCACATTAAGGGACACGAGCTTGTTCAAAAGTTTTGCTGGATTCAGCTACGTATCTGAGATGTTTGATTTACTAACAGTTTTCAAGTAAATCATTTCATCAACTAGATCTCTGCTTACATCTGAATTGTACTCTTCGGCGAATCTTACACAACTTTCTAAGATCGTATTCTCGTCCATTTCGTTATACTTCCATAAAAATGAATATTTCATTTCGATTTCTCTCAGTGCTGTGAACCTCGTTTTCAGGTTGGCCACCAAAACATCAATTATTGTGTAAAAAACTTTTGTTTTGAAGCGTTTTGCAAAGAAATAATTTCTTGCATAATGCCTTTTAAAGGAGATAAAGAAGACCCCAACAATTATAAAGGTCTAAATCTACTGAACACCGCACTTAAGCTTACAACAAAAGTCTTAACCAACAAAATCAATAAACTAACAACTTTATCAGATGAATAACAAGGACTCAGATATCTCTGCTCTAAACTCATTTATTTTAATCCTTTGATTTGGCATCCTACTGTATTTTATCTATTGCTCTATGGCTGAATATTCTAACAATTTAAGCACCTTCTTCTCTTTTAAAATTTATTTGACTTGACTTTGATTGACTTTTGACTAATTCATAACCTCACCTTTTAAACTTATTTGTTATTTGGTTGTTAGTGTTAGTTATGATTAATTTATATCTTTCTAATGGTGAAATATTACTATATAATATTAATGATTGGTTAGTACTACGGAAAGATCATCGAATTGTCGGAGAAACCGTAGGAAACGCAGTAAATATACCTTCCTTACCTATAAAAATTATTCCAGAAGAAGCTTGTTTATTGGTGTCCAGAAACATTGTAACTGTATCAGAAGCTCCCAAGGAAATTGTTAAAACCGAAGAAGATCAGTGTAAGATAGAAAAATACGAATCAAAGTTATTGGAATCACAAATTGTGAACTATAAAGAAACTCGAAAACTACAAATTGAGCAAATAGTTGATCAGGTTATAGTCAAACATAATGACAATCGAAGCAGAGAAGAAATTATAAACGAAAAATTGGCACAAACACCTTCAATAACAAAAAGTAATATGATATGGCCTATACATTTATCTACCTCCAGTAGTATGAACCAAAATGTAAAACTGCTGAATGCAGAAAATATTTTAACATTAACCACTGTGTTAAAACGATCTGTGTATGCTGATTTATGGAATAGAGGTTACTATGTTACACAAGGACATAAATTTGGTGGAGACTTCTTAGTATATTTGGGTGACCCAGTATGTCATCATGCAATTTTTATAGTAAAATGTATCAATAATATGAAAGATCTATTCCCACTGGAATTAATTTCGTTGGGGAGATTGGGAACATCTGTGAAGAAAAGGGCAGTATTGGCATCTATGGAAAATGATAAAATTTCATATATCACGATGAGTTGGATAGATGAGGAACTCTCAACTGTAGAGGATATAAATGAGGATGATTAATTACTTAAAATAATTAAATCTTTACAAGGAGGTTTGTGACTAACTAAATCTAAATAGAAACTGAAATTACCTATCATGGAAAGTATGTTTTCAAAGAAGACTACAGATTGGCAACAAATATAAGTGGGAAAATATACTTAAAAACATTGTACCTAGCAACAACATATATTTATGAATATTTGTTGTATGCTGTTAAAATTCTAGTAATTTTCATGTATAATAAAATTTTCATTGCCTGAAGTTTTTCTTAATGTACAAATTTGGTCATTTTAATTGAAACCTCTTTACCATTTACCTCTATATACTAAAAGTAGTCTTCTAACATGGTACATGTATTTTCAAAAGTTGTTATTGAAATAGATGTGTGAAATAGAATGGTTGCACTAGTAACAAAGTATTTAGAGATTTTACAGAAAAGGTATACTTCTTTGTTTATATCTCTTATCACTAATAAATAATACCTAGTATTTGATGCTTTAATTTCTAACTCAGAAATTTCGATTTTGAAATCTCCAACATAGACATCAAAAGTCAAATACAGTCATTTTAGCCAAAATTGAGATTTAGTCTCATTAAATAGATCTCTATAATTAAAAAAATTGTTGTATTAGATATGGATTATTTTAAAAACTGGTCTCGGTTAGGAGAATTTATGAACCATTACCTGGTATATCTGAATGTTTTGCTGTTTATTAAATCTCAGTATAATAATTAGATGACAAGTTAGACAGGCATGGCAAATTTAATAAAGAATTAAAGGTTTTGAAAAAACTAAAAATGGAGCAGCATTTCATTCCGATAATTTAATTACTAATCACTAAGTCCTAAAACTACTGGATGAGCCTGATGGCTTTGATCTACCTATGAAAAAGATATAGTGAGAACTGTCAATAAGCCTTATCTGTCATTCACTAAAAGCATTCCTATAAATCTTACACTCTAGAGCTAGACTCTGGAGAAAGGGAGATGAAAACATAAGTGGAAGCCAAATTGGTTTCAGAAATGGTATGAGCATCAGAAATGCTTTATTCTCAGTCCAAATATTGATCCAAAAAACTCTTGATCAGTAGAGGAATGTCTTAACCCTCTAACCATGAGTAGTCCCTAAGGATGACACTCCATTAATTCAAATAATTTAATAAGTAACATCCTCAGGAATGACAAAATGGTTTACATTAAATTTTTTTAAAATTCACTATTTATTGATAAAACTTTTTGTGAATTTTGAGTTGTTTATCACCTAAATTTATTTTTGTTGGTTTGTAGAAAGACAAAAAGAAGAAAAAATGGAAGGACAGCTACCACATTTTTTCATTAGAAAAAATTGTCAGAGTATAATGAATTTGAAAGACAAAACAAGTATAATTTGTCAGATATGTCTGAAGAAGCAACAGGAGTTCATGAACTGTATTGAAAGTTCTGAGGAAGAAGAGAATGGTGATTTCGATGATGACAAATGCATCGAAGAAATGAATACAGCTGAGTCCAGTGAAACTTTTATGGAAGCTGTAAATTATAGTAATATTGAAGAAGAATGTTCAGAAGTTTCGATGCCGGAACCAACACCACATGAAGCAGAGATTTTAGCGCCAAGTACAGCAGCAGAAACAGTGAAAGCTACAAAGAGACTAAGATCTACATTACCAGTTATACAGTCTTCTGGGCCTCAAATTGTGCCATCTGTAGGTGGATTTTACACCAGTTTAGGTGTTGTCAAAAATATATCAAGAAGTATGTAGACATCTCATTTTTTTCCGTTTTCCAGGTTTAGATGCAATAAAGGAGGATTCAACCGAGTTTTCGAATATATGATGGAGAAAAAAAAACACGAAGTTGCATATAAATAAAATAGCCTTCAGAGGCAACAACAATTTGCCTGACAATGTGACCTATCTCTGATCACCAATGCAGTATTTTAATTATTACTTCAATTGTTGAAGAAACAAATCGAGCTGCTTTTATTGCCAACTCAAATTTCACAACAAATTTTGAGGACATGTATCATTTTATCAGTATTTTGATGTACATGTCGATCTATAAGTATCCGAACCTGGAAAGATATTGGGGAAAAACGCATTTCAACCAATCCAGTCCACTATGAAGCTACGGAAATTTGAACTGACCAAAAGATATTTATGTTTTGAGGATGAGAGTCAACGTAATAGAAAAGGTGAGCCTGGATATGACAAGCTTTTTCGTATCAGAAGACTGGCTGATATAATAAATGAAAGATTTGATTCCATTCCAAAAACAGCTTGTTTATGTGTAGACGAGCGAATGTTTAGTACCAAGATCAAGCATCATTTAAACATCAAGCATCCAAATAAACCACATAAATGGGGAATAAAGCTTTTTGTATTATGCGATTCACATGGTTATGCTTACTGATTTAAAACATACAATGGTGCAGGTGACAATATCATTTTACCTGGTACTCAAGATCTTGGTGCTATAGATAATGTAGTTCTAGGTACGATTATATCAAATAGTGCCTTATTTCGTCCATCATATAATATACTTTGACAATTTTTACACCCTCATTACCTTTATTAGTATATCTTTGTGCAAGAGATGTGTATTTATGCACTTGGTACTATAAGAATCAATCAAAGTCCAAATTGTAAACTGCCAATTGATAAAGAAACAAAAGATGCAGAAAGAGGAGATTCCATGGAATATGTTGGCACTGCATATGGTATCGATGTGAATACAGTACAATGGAAAGACTTAATTCCAATTATTCGGTTTTATCTTCTAATAGACATGACCGCAATAAATGCATACATTCTATACCGTCGAGTCCATGCTGATAAATCTCCTAATAGTGATGAACCAAATGAGAAATTATACAAATTAGCTCAATTTCGTGAACAGATAGCTAATGGCCTTTTGTGGGTTATACACAAAGGCGTTCTGTTGGTCGACCATCTTCTCAGTCTGTCCATGAGAACTACGACCATTTTCCAATATGGCTAGGTAAATCAGGAGTAAGAAAGAAATGTAAATATTGCAAACCCAGTGTGGTTGCCAAAAGTACGACCTATCTTTGTGTTGCTCTAGCTCAAAAAATTGTTTCTACGATTATCATCTTAAATAATGTACTTTCCTCGTTTGATATTTTGTTCGAATAAAAATACATTTAACGAAATATGCTTTGTTTTATTTAACTTAAACCGTTTTGTTGTCCTTGGGGGCGTCTTACATTTTTTTTACCTGGCGAATCAGCCACTAGGGAAATCTTTATGGGAACTTCATATTCATCATTCATGTCAGATGGTAAAGACATAAGGATTATCAAGAACTTATATTGTAGCCTATTTCACCTATTTATATAGATCAGTAGAGTGGAGTAGAATAGAGTAAATTTTTAAACATAATTGAGCCAATAACGTCACATTATTAAATACAGATTAAAAAAAATATATATATATATATTGACATCACACATTTAAAATATATTAACATTACAAATTAAATATGCTGATCAAGGAGAAGGATAGGCCCTGCACTCTGCCACAGTATAGGGCTCAATGTTAACTAGGTGTTGAAAAACCTTTCTTTTAAAAGCTCTATAGTGTGTTTCCTGTTGAATGTCAGATGGTAGACTATTATAAAATTTAACACACGCATACAAAAGACTTCTCTCTGTTATAGACAATCTGTGAAGTGGCAAATTCAAATTAAGGCTTATTGTATTATATTCATGATTGGGAAGCAGGTGATAAAACAAAGAAAATTTTTTAAAAAGTAACATAATACATTCAAATTTATAGATGGCTCAGAAAGTGAGTATATTGAGTGATTTGAATCGGCTTCTACAGGATTCTCCCGCCTTTAGTCCTAAGATAATCCGGACTACCTTTTTTTGGACTATAAAGACAGTTGAGCTATCTACTGCAGCACCCCAGAAGATTACTCCATATCGCATAACAGAATAAAAGTTTGCATAATATACTGATAGTAAAATCCCCTCGTCTAGATAGCTCTTTAACACTCTTAATGAGTAGCAGGCTCTATTCAGTTTTTTTGTTGTATTTTGTATTTGTTCCCCTCAATTTCTGGTCAATATGAATACCAAGAAATTTAACTGATCTAGCAGGTTCCGTGTTTTGTGATAGAAAATGAATTGTATCTGGAAACTGTTCTCGTGACTGGCTGGTTCTAAAGTAGACAAAAACTGTCATCAATATTAAGCAACAACATATTTCCACTGAACCACTGTTCAGCCTTGCTTAGAATTTGCTCTGCCACTATGAGGAGTGTTTCTAAAGTTTTTTCCCAGAAAAGCACATTTGAGTTATCAGCGAAATTTACAAGGTTTGGGGAACTACTAACCACCCCATTTGGAAGGTCGTTTATGCAGACCAAAAAGAGAAAAGGCCCCAGAACACTCCCCTGTGGTATACCTAATTTTAAATTGATCGGTTCAGCAGGTAGTAAACCTTACATCACCTTTTCTTGAGGCATACTTTTTGTGACCTATCTGCGAGAAATTATTTTATAGATTTTAATGCCGGTCCTTGTATTCCATAAAGATGTAATTTTTGTAATACACGAACATGATCTAGGATATCGAAAGCCTTAGATAGGTCCAAAAAAGCACCCAGTGTTTTCATCTTTGCCTCCAGTTTTTCTAAAATTTTTGATATAAAATCATAGGTAGCTGTCTCAACAGATCTCACTGCGAGAAAACCATGCTGTGAACTACTAAATAAGTTGTTTGTAGTAAAAAAGTTTTGTAGTCTGAAATATATTGCTTTTTCAAATATTTTTGAGAATGATGGAAGAAGGCTTATTGGTCTATAGTTCTCCATCTTAGTAATCATCACCTTTTTTATGCAGTGGCTTGACAATTGCCAGTTTTAAATTTTGAGGAAATTTAGCTTGCTTGAAAGAAGCATTAACTATAAAAGAAAGAGGAAGAGAAATCTCTGATGAAACATATTTAGGTTGGTTGATATTTCATCATAACCAGAGCTATGCTTGTTTTTTAAGTTATTTATATATAATAATAATAGTCTCCGTTTTATACCGCACGCGGCTTTGGAGTATAGCAGGGTAGTCTGCTATATCTAGGGCCTACGGTATACAAGGAAGGTAACATGGCCAGTGCTACGCTTCAACCGCCTATTATTACCCCTGGTTT